AGCAATTTTTTAATTAGAGCCAATAAAAAAGACTTCACTTTGATAGTTTTGAACCCAACCCACTAAAACTTAAGATGGCTTCGCTAGTAGCTTTTGAACTCAATCCATTAAAATTAAAAAGAAAACTTCATTAGTAGTAGTTTTGAACCAAATCCACTTAAAAAAAAAATGAATTATTTTCACAAATCTGTCATGCACTCCTACCTCGCGCATAACTGTCGTAACCAACCTATTACTCTGTTACGTCCATAGAGATCATTCACAACACATTCACTCCAACAGCAAAAAATACTAGCATTTTTTAATTAGAGCTGAAAAAAAAAAGACTTCACTTTGATAGTTTTGAATCCAACCCATTGAAACTTAAGAAGATTTCGCTAGTAGCTTTTGAACTCGATCTATTAAAATTAAAAAGAAAAACTTCATTAGTAGTAGTTTTGAACCAAATCCACTTAAAAAAAATTTGAATTACCTTCACAAAATTGTCATGTGCCTCTACCCCGCGCATAACTGTCGTAACCAACCTATTACCCCGTTACGTCCGTAGAGATCATTCATAATATATTCACTCCAACAGCAAAAAATAATAGCAATTTTTTAATTAGAGTTAATAAAAAAAGCTTCACTTTGGTAGTTTTGAACCCAACCTACTGAAACCTATAAAGACTTTGCTATTGAATTAAATCTGCTTAAAAACTTAGTTATCATTACAAATCTGTTGTGCACTCCTACCCCGCGCATAACCGTCGTAACCAAACCAATTTCTTGTTATGTCTGTAAAATCAATTCACAACACTAGTTCTCTGAAATACAGTAGTTAGTAGCTTCTTAACCAAGTTCACTAAACTTAAAAATGACAGTCGTTACTTCTTCCTGAACTTAATCCACTTGAATTTAACATTAAAGTAATTTTTTTTTTTTAATTAGTTAAAAGATTGAAGTCTTTTAAGCTTAAGCCCAATTAAACAAATAGTTTATAAAAAAAATTTAATATGATAGTTAAAGATAGTTAAAGGTAGTTAAAGGTAGTTAATTTTATTACTGTGTCGTTATCGTTATCGTTATCATTATCGTTGTAAGAATTTTGAAGATCATTTCCAGAATATTCTTGTTGATCTGGAAATCTTGATTTTCTATTTTTAGATTTCTTCATCTTTTTAGTTTTTTGTACTTTACGAATTTTTTTATTACATAACTTGATCTTGTTGATTATAGTAAAAATATTCTTACCAAGTATATCTATGTTTTTTGTATTTTACGAATTTTTTTATTACATAACTTGATCTTATTGATTATGGTAAAAATATTCTTACCAAGTATATCTATTAGAAAATCGAAAAAAACAAATTTTAAAAAAATGTAAAAATAGGCTGTTTCTATTGTCCGCACCCTATATGATTGTACTATATATTTATTATAGTTAAATTCGATGATTATAATAATGAAAAAGTCTTATCAATAATATAACATAAAACCCTTCCAATTATCTTCATATAAAACCCTTATAAATCTCTAAACTACGTTATAAAAAAAATTATTCATGAAATACTGATTATTGTTATCATCATGAAAGTTTGCTGAACAAGAAAAGCGACATGTATGTACAAAGTATATTTTAGGAACTTCGTTGAGAACAGAAATCAGATAAATTTGATACCACCTTGTATCTAACTCAGCTTGTTTCTCAAAGATCGGATATCTTAAAAGAGCATCAATACGCTTGGTATCTTTTAGCCAATTAATTCAAACAAATGAGTAGACAAGTCTATCATTATAATTATGTGTAAAAATTGCCCTGATAATCATATATGATTTGTTTTCTTCTTCTTTGATGAGTACAACATCGCCAATGTGAAGTCTGATATGTGCGTAGAATTCTCCATTGTCATCTAGAAGCATATACTGGATGTATTGATACAGTTTAATGAAACGTATTGTAATATATTGGCATCATTGTAAATATTCAGCATACGCAACAAAAAGGTTACTCTTTAAGGTAGCGTTATTATCAAGGCAACTTGATAATTGTAGTGACCGAATTTCAGCAGGAGTCAATTGTTGCCAGACTCGAATATTGATAACTCAAGCATCTTCTGAAACTATACCCATATCTAGAAATATACAATAGCATTGTTACTATATATTTCAAATATGTAATGAACAGTATTGGCCAATATATGAAAAATTATATTATTGCAAATATTTATTACTATTATTAAATAAATTTGTTATATATGAGGGTAAAGGTTTAAATATATATTTATAATAAGTTAATATGATTAAATATAAAAATATGTATAATAGAGCAATAGAACAATAAAATATAATAAATAAAATTTATAACAGAAAATAGAATGCCCAGAGACTAAGCAATAAATATAGATTTAAGAGAAATTAGTTTACCTTTAGAAGCGTTTTGAGAATACAAATCTTCGGTCATATACCATCCTGTGAGAAGCAGCTGAAGATGTTGATCTATAACAATACTTCTTAAGCCGTCTCTAATATTACTTTCATTGAATCAATAATCAACTCCACCATCAATTATATACCGAATAGCTTGTAGAACATTTGTGTGTTATAGTAAATCCAATTCTACATTTTTTTGATTAGTTTTGAGAACAGCTTGTTTGAAAATTTTGTAAACCATTTCCTTGACAGCACAATTTGAATTAACTAACGTTCCATAATTTTTGCAGTTTTGACTTAAATGAAAATTGATGTAAAGGTTTAGTAAATTTTCAAAATCTTCGGGAAATAGCTATTATAAAAATCAGTTAAAATCTTTTGAATTATTTGGGACATCGTCAGTCAAAACGAATCATTGTGAAAATGTAATTTATTATTGTTTATTAATAAGCTATATAGTTTAGAAATTACCTTAATAAACCTGCTTATTAAAATTTTTTTAATACGTATTATTTTGATATAACAATACCGATAGCCTTTTATAGAATTAGTAATAACATATACAAGTATAATCATGGCTTATTTTTAATTGACAACACCCCATTTATTATTATACATTTTAAGTTAAACAAACATAATAATACCTCTATTAAAATGCGACGTTCTTCCATAAGTATGTTTTGAAGATGATTTAGATCACTTTGAATTAATTTTAACTTAAAACAGTGAGCCGCAGCATCTACTACAATTACTCAACTTGAAATAATGGTATTAATGACTTGATTTGTGGATCATTTAGATGGCAAGCGATCACGTAAAACTGTAAAATCGGTTGAAGTAATATTATCTGCATTTAAAAAATATCTTAAAATAAATGGCATCAACATGGCAAGCTACAATGCATCTGAAAATATAAAACTCTTAAGATGGGTAATAGGATTAGGCAAGCGATGCCAAGTGGATGGTTTTTCAAAGGACTTCCAATATTTTAAACCCCGCTTTTTTCTTTGTTCATTTAACAAATTAAGTGTGCATTCTAATAATCTTTGAATCTTACCAGCAACTGCATGGTAAGAATCTTGAGGCGTCTGTACATGGCGGTCACGTGACAACATTGATAGAATGCCCAGTTTTAAACAAAGACCATAGCGTTTTGTGAAATCTTCAATCTCTTTTCGGGTTATATTTTTGTCTTTTAATGGCTGTAACTTAATAAAATGTTCTTTAGTGATATAATGAAAACGTGCAAAATGTATTCTATCAAAAGTAATATCGGTCAGTCGATCTTTTGGAGCAAGACAATTCTGACACCCATAAAGAGCACCTTGTTTTTTAACATCGCTAAGATCATTGCCCTGCAGCAAGTCGGCCGTTACTAATCCAATCGAAGCAATAACTCAAACTAATTTATTATTCATCTTCATTACAATGCCTTTCTTCAATTAACGAAGTTCTTGAAGTAAAGGACGCATCACATCATCAAAGTGGCCTCTGAATGGTATAAAACCAACTATAAAATGATTTTTTAACTGTTTTCTTAAACTAAAAGGCATATTGCCTATTTGTATATAAATGCCTCCTAATGTGTGATAAGTATTACGAAAAGTGTTGAAGTCATCATTATAAATATCGATCATAAATTTAAATGTTTTTATATTATACAAAGGCGGTAAATTTGTAATAATATATTTAGAAGGATGACAGTGACGTAAATGTATTGGTTGGATGTAGATTCGCCTAGTATTACTATCTTGATATAAAATCTTAGATACATGGAAATTATAGAACGCAGGTTGGAGAACATCTTGAAGCTATATAAAAACATGTTTTAGGATATGAATAGGTGAAACAATCTGATAATCCTCTTTGATCATCCAGAGTTCTTTATGACCTCGAAGACTTCTATCTTTACTACAATAAATTCCTAATTCGTCATGCCTTAAAAGTCTTGATATTTTTAAAGCATCTTGCATTTGGTTATTCGGATCAATAGTTTCAGATGGTGGTAAGAATGAAACAATGGCTTCAATTCTTCCAAAGCGCCTTTCGTGCCGATTCTCTTTATTGATATAGATAAACTCTACGAATTGCCTAATACTGTATGCAACTAAAAAAAAATTAGAATAGAGTTAGATGCATGAGTATTGTTTTTGACACACCTGATCCTTTTTTTTTTGACTCCCTTAAAAACATCGGTTTTAACCCATATAAAATGCTTATTATTACTAGTATGAGTTGTAAACCCTGTTTTTTTAATTAGGTACAATTTTTAATTTAATACTTATTATTTTAAATCCAAAGTTTTTACTAATTAGTAAATAATAAAAAACAAAATTACGAGGTCATATTTATTTAAAATCGAAACAATTATTGATTTATTTAAAAATTTGTCTTAATAATCATATGTGTAAAGAAATAGTGTTTAACTAACAAAAAAAGGTGAGATAATTTCATATTGAATAATTCTTTAATTATTATAATGGCCACTTAATATCTT